TTTCGTTTCTCTGTTGGTTTTGTCTGCGGGGGAGAGGTTCACAACCTCAGTCGATCTTCGTCGCTTGTAGCGGCCTCCCTGAGTGTACAGGTCTTGCACGTAAGGGTTCGTCGTCATTGCACACCCCGACTCCGTAACCTACCCGGTCCCCACCCAAAACAAGATCAAGTGTTGTACTAAGTAGCTCCGGTTCGTGATATAACATGCTCCGATAAATTTAGTATTAAGTTAGATTTAACTATACATTGTCAAAGTGAATTTCATATAGAAATAAAGCTAAGATCAAGATCTACCTTCCTGGCTGGTTTATAATTGCCTTGGACGGAAAAATAAAAAACCATTTAAAGATTTCGCAGAGTACACCGTAAAGACGCCACGAAGTTAATATATTCAAAACATCGTAGATCTGCATACGATAATTACTGCTGATCCAAAGTCTCCAACCAAAAGATATCTACATAATAATATTTGGACATCAATTCTCTACATTTCTGGAAAGAATCAAGTCGAATTGCCTAACCGTTCGTGAGTTATTAAACATTTCTAGTTATAGCGTACAGTCCGTACTTACTTTGTTGTCGCTCGCGCTTTCAAAACTAAACGGAAAAGACGGCTTTCTCCTTGGAAATACTCCACGAAACTTTAATACAATCAAGATACTACCAACTAAATCAATATTGTGGCTTCATATTCGTAATATTTTTTATTGAAACGACTATTTTCATCTCTTAAAGCTCCTAGCGACCGTTGGCCATAATTTTTTCCCCATCCTAGCAACGACCAATCAAATCATAGATTGTTACGACTTAGGGGAAAACGACTTAGGGGAAAACCCTAACACGCTCCTTGCTTTAAAATCGTTGTAGAAATTGTTTACCTATACACCGCGCCTTTCTTCGATACATTATTTGACATGCTATATCGCCCTCATGTAAACTCTCTGAACACCCTCGTTAATAACTAAAGATGAGCGAGTCAACACACCAAAAGAGCAACATACAAACTTTTAGATGCAAAGAATGTAACTATGAAACGCACGCACAGAGTAGACTTAGCCTTCATGTCGTCAAAAAACACCCACGGCCAAACGATGAAAACATTAAATCAATTAACGTGACTGCAGAATATCCCAAGGGAATATCATTCTATTGCTGTATTTGTGGCACCATCATAGGCTCACTGGCTAACTTTAGAAGACATTGTTCATCGGCACATCCCAACATACCACTACAAATCTCGTGCATATGTACCATTTGCAACACCACATTCAACTCAACAAAAGGTGTAGGAGTACATCTTAAAAGGACACATAAACTTCCTTCATCATTCTCACTTAACCCACCACCTGAAGAACCAATCATTTCATATGTAGAATACCACGACTCCCAACACTGCACATCCACCCATAATGATGCTGAACACAACACCCCACAAACACAAACACTTCACAACACTCAATCAACAAGACAATCACGAAGCAAAAAAAGAACTACTCGCTCCTCTAGACATTCACAAAGAATCAACCAACCCTCACTTAGCCCACACACGAGAACACCATGCCCCACAATCAATAATACTACCAACGAATGTCCTTCACCACAACAGAAAACAACATCATCACAACAAGAACACCAAACCCCAAACAAATTTCAATGGACATCACAACCCATCATACAATCACTACCTACACCAACACCACCCATAACTCCATCTCATTACACAAACAGCCTTCACCTCACACCAGATACCCAAGACCCCAATGCCAACAATGACATGTCCACGAATGATAACCATCCAACAACTAATAACCAACCACTGCCAACCCTCATCGATTTACCTCTTGATTGGGACGACGATGACGAGTATCCAGAAGTAGAAGACAGCTCCACATCCTCAAGGGAGACAGCATCAAACACATACCACCAACAACCTCAACACCATCACACAAGTCCAACAATAGCTCAAATGAATAACACCATGCACAACAACACCTCACAGCCCCCACACCCATCCACATTACAACAGCAATCTGAAGACACCCTATCACTTTTAAAAAGGAAATGGTCAGACACATTCTATACAGACTCAAACAGGTTACAATTCAACAAGCAATGCGATGAATTTGCGAAAGATATATGGGAATATTGCAAACACAACAACAACATGAACAACTGCATCCCCAAGACCCGCGACCTGTCTAGACCTTTTTCACGCCCGAAAAACACTAACCGTCAACAACTGCAATACAACCCTAGGGAGGCCCGAAGACTGCAAACTCTCTTTAGAATCTCAAAGAAAAGAGCGGCGAGGAAAGTGATAGCAGACAATAAACCATCATATTCTGGAAGCACCGATGCCGCCGACTCATTCTTCAGAAGCACATTTGCAGAGAAACACATCGACACAAATAATCTACAACAAAAACTAAATGAACTTGTCCCTTCAGGCCCCACTGAAAACGCTTTGGATGATCAAATCACGGCGGAAGAAATATCGAAGAAACTACACTCCCTCTCGAATTCATCACCAGGGACAGACCGTATCGAGTATAGACACCTTAAACTTGTTGACCCAAAGGGCAAAATTCTATCACAAATATTCAATCGTTGCAAGGACGCGGACGACGTACCTACTGCATGGAAAACCTCCACCACAATCCTTATACACAAAAAAGGTGATGCAAGTAACATTGCAAACTTCCGCCCGATAGCCATGATGAGCTGCAATTACAAACTCTTCACGAGTGTCATCGCCAACCGTTTAGTCTCTTTTGCTATCGATCATAACTTACTATCTCATTCACAGAAAAGCGCCCGCCCGTGTGAAGGTTGTTACGAGCATACCTTCATCCTACAATCTTTAATGCTAGATGCTAAACGTCATCAAAAGAACTTATTTGTCTCATGGCTAGACCTGAAAAATGCTTTCGGCAGTGTCCCTCACTCGGCAATAACAACGCTTACACACCTTGGTATCCTTACATCGATCGTAAACCTAATCAAAAACGTATATACCAACGCCTCCACACAAATCCAGACACCAAACGGTCTTACTTCAGAAATCCCGATTCTCTCAGGTGTAAAACAAGGCTGCCCCCTCTCACCAATCATATTTAATTTATGCATTGATGTCATCCTCCGCGCAATCGCATCTACTGGTGCTTCCATTGGACAAGTCAAACATTATGACAATGACATTTCTGTATTAGCATATGCTGATGATCTAGTTTTAATCGCTAAAACAGAAAACAAACTGCAGAACCTCCTAAATGCGGCAGGAACAACAGCTGATACCCTAGGTCTAACATTCCGACCCGACAAATGTGCGTCCATAAGCTTAACATATGGTAGGAGAGGTGAAAACAATATCCAATCAACTCAATACACAATACAAGGGAAAACCATGCCAGCTTTAACTGAACACGAACACTATCGCTATCTCGGGGTCCCCATCGGTATGCTTCGTGACATACATTCCATAGAAAAAATCGTTGACCAACTATGCATTGACCTAGAACGGATTGAAAACTCGCTATTAACACCATGGCAGAAATTAGACACGATACGAACGTTCATTCAACCAGCTCTTGCTTTTGCCCTACGCGCAGGCGAACCTAATAAATCATCGCTATCATCATACCGTAGAAAACTGATTGAGACCACGAGAACGTATATACCAACGCGTCCACACAAATCCAGACACCAAACGGTCTTACTTCAGAAATCCGATTCTCTCAGGTGTAAAACAAGGCTGCCCCTCTCACCAATCATATTTAATTTATGCATTGATGTCATCCTCCGCAATCACATCTACTGGTGCTTCCATTGGACAAGTCAAACATTATGACAATGACATTTCTGTATTAGCATATGCTGATGATCTAGTTTTAATCGCTAAAACAGAAAACAAACTGCAGAACCTCCTAAATGCGGCAGGAACAACAGCTGATACCCTAGGTCTAACATTCCGACCCGACAAATGTGCGTCCATAAGCTTAACATATGGTAGGAGAGGTGAAAACAATATCCAATCAACTCAATACACAATACAAGGGAAAACCATGCCAGCTTTAACTGAACACGAACACTATCGCTATCTCGGGGTCCCCATCGGTATGCTTCGTGACATACATTCCATAGAAAAAATCGTTGACCAACTATGCATTGACCTAGAACGGATTGAAAACTCGCTATTAACACCATGGCAGAAATTAGACACGATCCGAACGTTCATTCAACCAGCTCTTACTTTTGCCCTACGCGCAGGCGAACCTAATAAATCATCGCTATCATCATACCGTAGAAAACTGATTGAGACCACGAGAAACATCTGCCACAACGGGCAACTTCGCATAATATTTGCATCAAAGTCAGTAGGAGGATTTGGTTTTCAAGACCCAAGAATTGAAGCCGACATCCAGACAGTTGTACAAGCAATGAAAATGCTATCCTCTGATGTTAAATTTGTATCTGGAGTAGCTCGAGGTGAACTCACTCGTGCTGTTGCTTTCGCCTCTCAGACAAATCCATCGCCGTCACTTACACAAGACTTCCTCTCAGGCTCAACCAAAGGAAACTTCCATCCCGACCGTATACGATACCGAACGCACTCGCTATGGACAAGAACACGAGCGGCATGCAGATGTCTCAATGTGACCTTTAAAGTACCACCTGCAGGCCCGCCCACAATCTCCATCAACGGTAAAGGTCCGTGTCCAGCTAAATCGGCATCATCATTCCTTCATAGAGCCTTCCAAGATAATGAAGCGGCAGAAGTGACAGCTCTACCTGACCAAGGTAAAGTCGCCAGAACGATGGCACAAGACCCACACGCGAATAACTCTTCTTGGCACTTCACCGGATTAAACATGCGTTTCCGCAACTGGAGGTTTATACACCGTGCAAGACTCAACGTCGTCCCAACCAATCAGAATAAAGCCCGTTGGTCCGACTGTTGTCCTTCCTGCCGCGTGTGTAAAGACCACCCGGAAACCTTGCCACATGTCCTCTGCCACTGCAAAAACAACATGGTCGACATCAGGAAAAGACATGATAGATTAGTCGAACGTCTGGCCAACTCTGTACGGTACGGTGAAGTCCAAATAGACAAAACCATCCCGGGTTTTGACAGCCAGTGTCGCCCTGATATAATAATAACAGAAGAAAACAAAGTCACGATTATAGACGTTACATGCCCCTTTGAAAACGATGAAGACGCTCTCTTAATCGCAGAACAAGGTAAACTTGAAAAATATCAAAACGTTGCACATTATTACCAACAAAAAGAAATCCAATGCGATCTCTTTGCCTTCGTGATTGGTGCTCTCGGCACTTGGCACCCTAGTAATGAAAAAGTAATGAAAGCACTCCGAATGTCGAAAACGTACAAATCTCTCTTCAGAAAGCTCTGCTGTACTGAGGTAATACAAGGATCTGCAGACATCTATTATAAACATATCGGAAATTCGCCTCCCCTTTGAGGCGTTACCTATACACTGTCTAATATATATATCTATACAATTTAAGAACATCTACAGAGAACAAATCTCTAAAAAATTAACATAGTCAAATGTAAATAGTTAATCAACTCCCAACCCGATCCCCATCTTCAGTGCGTAAAAGACACATTCTATTAATTACTCCCCCCCTTACTCACTCTAGACTAATACCTACCCCACTAACCCCCTATACCTACGTTATCTTACCTTATTTCTTACCTTACCTTATTTCTTACCTTATTTCTTATTTCATTACTTACCTTATTTCTTTTTCTCATCTTTCACATAATATATCATTTTCTTCAACTTGCTATATGTAAATAATAAAAGTTCTGTATATAACTAGCTTAAATAGTAACAACTGCGACTGTGTAAAAAGTTACCTGCTTTTTCTGAATAAATATTAATGATCTGTTCTTATCAGCTAAATTGGCAGCCCTATACTTGATCACTTTGGTAATTGGTACTTTGGTAATTCGATCGCTAATTGGATTACGCTCATTGGACTACGCTCGTTAAGGTCAGTGATTTGAATTTAGTAATCTAACTCTCTTCTACTGATCTCCTAGTGGAACATTTGGATTGGATCTTCTGTATCTCTTGGTTTGGACTGTTATTGGACTCGATTTTGGACGACCCTTGTACCTCAAGACGAAGACGGACCTTCGCCGTTTGCTGTTGTTTCGGGAACGCTGTTGATCTACACGTCAATCTGTCTCAATCCTTGGCTACGTTAAGTCGCTCGGCTTTCTTTACTCTACGAAACGTTATATTCGACCTGTTCGTGAGTTTTTATAAGACTATTCTCTCTATCGGACTGCGAAACTCAACGTTATTTGCGCTTGTTTTACTACCGATCGATATACGCCCGCACACGGCTTTTTCACTTGTGTTGGCTATTCACTATTAGATTTAAAGCTAGGATATTCTCCTGCTCATTTATATTCTTTTCTGAGAGGGATCTCAGCCCCGTCCTTGTAGTTCGTGTCAAATTTTATACCAGCAGCGAGGCCGTATAAACTTCCTCGTGCTAACGAAGCATAGCACCGTATTTTGGTCGCATTCGCGCGTCATTTACTTGTTCTTTTAAGAACAGCTGCATCGCCTTATCATCCTACACCGACCGTGGGCAATCTACGAACGAAGGAACATTCTTTGAACGATTTTTATCTCTTTTTCTGGTAGAGTTTTGTGTTTAACACACCTCACCACGTGGTTAAACCTTCGCTATCTCTGAATATCGCGCTGCTATAATTACGCTATAATTTGCATTATGCAGTCTTACGTACGCCGAACATTTTATCTTGGAACATTGCTACCCTTCTATACTAGCACTGGGCTATATTTTACATCGTTTAGACGATTTTTTTGAACAATTTCTGGCGTTTACTTTGAAAGATCTCTACGGCTCTAAACTTCCGCGTCATTTCGAAGCGTGCAAAGCATATTCATTTTGAGTCTTTTTACACGCCATAGAAACAATTTACTGTCGAATTCGCGCTATATTCTCTGCGAAGAGGGCTCTACTAACGCTTTTTACCCTCTTTTGGACCGATTGGATCAATTTTTTAAGACGATTTGCTAGCTGAGATTGTGTTTCTCACACCCCGCCACGTGGCCGAAGGACTACGCGAGTGTTTCATAACGCCATCACTACGTTGGTTTATTTACGACAATCTCAGCGTTTTTTGGAACATTTTTATCCTTCTAGCTCACACTCAACAGAACGCATTAACATTACACGTGCTCTTACACTCCACAGAATTAATTCGTTGAGTTTGACATTTCTCGCGCCTCTACTACTTTTTCCTTCTGAGAAGGCTATATTAACAGCCCTAACATATTCATCGGGCCATTTTGAACGTTTTAAGTGCGATATTCTACTAATCCCGCACTATTTTTATCGATTGCACTGCGAGGGGTCTAATTACCCGAAGACATCCCACGTGCATCAACTTCTCGCCGCGTGCCAATTTCGTCTACGCGGCAATTTTGTCTGTGCGCCAATTTTGTCTGCGCGCCAATTCTGCCTGCGCGCCAATCTCACCTACGCGCCAATTCTATCTACGCGCCAATTTTATCTACGCGCCAATTTTTTCTACGCGCCAATTTTATCTACGCGCCAAATTCTCCACGTGCGTTAACTTAAAATCATTAAACTTCTTATTATTCGTGCAGCCGATTACATTGATACATTTCGCTAGCACTCCTAACAATTTTCCCCGCAATCTCGACGCACTTTGCTATATATACAATCGAAACCGCCCTACTTTGCATTTTTCGGTCGAGTACGCGCATTTTTAGCGGTAATAATAAAAACTTTTGTGTGTTGTTGTCCATTTCTTCTCCTGCGTATACCCCAACATGCCCACGTGTGTATACTGCATGAAATGGTTCAAGACCCGTGGGCCGCTGGCTGAACACTGGCGCACCGCTCACCACGGGACTCCGAAGTATGATGACATCCCGGCCCAGCGATGCAAAGCCACATACCGTGTGGACATCCATCCACAGGACATCCGTTGCCCATATCGGGGCTGTACGTATGTCAGCAAACAAGTTGCTGGTATACAGAACCTGGCAACCCACTTTTCAAAGAACCACCCACAACACGAGCTGGTAGTCTCCCACCTCTGCAGTCTTTGCAACACATACATTGACCCCAGCGAATCCCACCAACACATGCAAACTCACCGACACTCCCACAAGCAACAATCGCTTTCACTCCACCTCAACCCACCATTGACCCTATCACCCAGAGACTGCTGCTCACCACCCGAGAATCCCACCTCCACGACAGTGAAACCTCACCATCAAGCACATACTCCGCCACAGTCATCGCCGATGCCAACCAACAGGACCTCTGTTGCCCAATGGAAGGCTGTACATTCCACGACCCTCGTGCTCCGGACCCCACAACTCTCAAAACTCACTTCCGCACCACACACCCCAATCAATCCCTCTCCCTCACGTACTACTGTCAATCCTGTAATAGCTATGTGCGTGAGGAAGACTATCCGTCCCACCTGCAGAGCCACCAACCGAAGCCGGAGAACAACCATTCTCACTTCCTCCACTACCGTCTCTCTCTCACTCCTGGCAGCCCCATCCCTTACTCGACAAGTCCGACCATTCTGGATTCGAACCAAACTTCACCACCGACCCACTCAAGAACACCCACTCCCACCATCCAACACACCTCATCCCAAGCTAACCCGTCCCCCATGCTTATCCACTCCACCGCCCCAATCCCATCAATATTCACCCCACAACTCTCATCGCCGCCACTGTTTTCTGCCCAATCCCCAGAACACAACCTCTCCACGCAAGACGCCTCTCAGTTTGCACCATCTGACAACATTCAACCAACTCCTGGCCACACTACTCCACCCATCCCGGACGACGCCCTCTCATTGCGACAAGTGGTCCTTCGAGCCGGATAGTATGGAGGAGTTAGCAAGAAAGAAAAGAGTACGAGCAGGACGAGCAGGTCATCGCGGTGCAAAACTGCGGTGCAAAACTGCACAAGCAAAACTGGTTGGTAGTAAGTCGGGACGAGTAAGGTTTTTGTTGGATTCTGGGAGTCAGAGATCATTTGTTACTGAAAGGACGGCTAAAGCGTTGGGATGTAAAGTCGTTCGTGAAGAAAATCTGAGAATAGGAACGTTTGGGAAAAGGGCTTTAGAGAACGAGTTGAGAAGGGTTGTGCGATTGGATTTGAGTTCGTTGTCGGGTGGTGAAGTCGTATCTATCGAGGCATATGTTGTACCAGAAATATCAGTAATTAGTAATCAACATTTGGAGGTGGTTGAAATAACTTGAACATTTGAAGGGTTGTGGTTGTCTGATGTTTGTAAGGTAAATGAGGAATTGGAGGTAAACGTACTCGTGTGCGGATTACTTGTGGTCGTTGCAGAAAGGTCGTATTATGCGAGGAAAGCAGGGGGAGCCTGTGGCTATCGAGACGGTGCTTGGATGGGTAGTTTCAGGGCCGGTTGGAAGCACGGATAAGAATCAACCCGCCACTGCTCAGGTAAATTTTTGCTCCGCTAATAAAACTTGTATCAACGTAGAAAACTTTTGGGATTTAGAAAGCCTAGGAATTTAGGACAAAGTAAGTGATGTGCATGAATCGGTCATAAACGATCTTAGTTTTGACGGCACGTTATTCAGTGGGGTTGCCCTGGAGAGAGGGTCACGATCCTTTACCTACTAACTATGACTTAAGTCTTAAGAGAATGAAGGGACAAATCAGACGACTAGGTAAGAACCCAGAATTACTGAAGGAATATGACATTATCATTAAGGCCCAAGAAGAGTTAGGCATCATAGAGAGGGTAGGAAAAGATAGTGTGATTAATTCTCATGCCAAAATACATTACATGCCTCATCAAGCTGTCGTGCGAAAGGATGCCAAGACGACAAAGGTTAGAGTGGTTTATGACGCAAGCGCTAAAGTACTCAAGTCAAGTGTCTCTTTGAATGATTGTTTGCATATCGGACCTTCACTTAATCCACTTTTGTTTGATATTCTGCTTAGGTTCCGTGAGCAAAGAATAGCGCTAATAGCGGACATAGAGAAGGCCTTCCTAAACATTGAAGTGCACGAAAGGGATCGAGATAGCCTAAGGTTTTTGTGGGTAGATGATGTACTGCGCAACAATTTGAATCTTGTAGTTTACCGTTTTTGTAGAGTCATATTTGGGGTGAATTCGTCACCATTTTTGCTTAATTCGACGTTAAGGCATCATATCAGCAAATATTTACAGTGCGATAGGGAATTTTCAGAAAAACTGCTAAAAAGCTTTTACGTGGACGATCTTGCCAGCGGTGAATCTAGTACAGAGCGAGCGTATCAGCTATATCGTAAGGCCAACGAACGCATGAATGAAGGCGGATTTAAGTTACGCAAATGGCGGACTAATGATAGTGCGTTAAGATCGCAAATTGAAGAAGATGTGCGTGACGTGGAAAGTAGTTGCGTTGATGAGCAAACGTATGCGAAAACCACGCTTGCTCAAGTACAGGGTCAATTTGGTAAAGTATTAGGGTTGGAATGGGATAGCGTCGGGGACGTAATAATATTCGATTTCGAAAATTTGAGTGCGAAAGCGGAAAACACGGAACCGACGAAGAGAAATGTGTTGAGTCTGTTAGCTTGTATCTTCGATCCATTAGGGCTCTTGAGTCCTACGATTGTTAAAGCTAAAATTCTCTTTCAAGATATTTGTTACAGTGGCGTGGATTGGGACGATACATTGCCTAAAAGTGTGAAAGAGAAGTGGGAGAAGTGGTTGAGAGATCTAAAGGAGGTAAAGAGTGTTTCAATAGGCAGGTACTCGAGCGGCGTGACTGACACATCTGGCTCAGAATCAAAGCAGAGATATTTTTTGCATGGATTTGGGGATGCGTCAAAGCGAGCTTATTGTGCGGTTGTGTATCTAGTAGTTTTGAACGGTAACGATGTTCGTGTTAAGTTGATTGCCAGCAAAACAAGAGTAGCCCCGATGAAAGAACTTAGTATTCCGCGGTTAGAATTAATGGCAGCTAGAATATTGGCTCATTTAATGTCTGCAGTCAGGAAAGCGTTAGAGTCAGAGTATAATTTTGAAGGTGTTAAGTATTGGACTGATAGTATGACTGTTTTGTATTGGATAGTCAACTCAGGCAATTGGAAGCAATTTGTACAGCATAGAGTTGACGAAATATTAAGGCTTAGTTCAAAAACAGAGTGGAGTCATTGTCCAGGTAAGGAAAACCCTGCAGATTTAGGGTCGCGAGGGGTCTTGATGACTGAGTTAAAGAACGCGGAGGCTTGGTGGTCAGGACCGTCTTGGTTGCGGGGTAGTCCAAGGCATTATCCTATGGTGAAGGAGATAGTTCCCACAGTAGACAGCAAGGTTGAAGAGAAAAGGTCATTTGTTGTTAACCTAATCACAAGTGCAAGGTCATTGTTTGGAATTGGCAATGTCATTAGCATAAGTAAATACAGCACACTTACACGGCTGTTAAGAGTTACTGCGTGGGTGAAGAGATTCGTCTATAATTTGAAACAAAAAAGACTAGGATTAGAAATTTTTACCGGACCAATAAAAGCGAGCGAAATGAATGATGGAGAATGCGAGTGGATAAAGTCAGCCCAGCTAGAGTTACGAGAGCAACCCGAGTTTAAGCAGTTAGAAAGACAGTACGGACTGATAGAAATGAACAGGATACTGCATTGTACGGGAAGATTGGGTGAATCAGATTTGGAGGCAGAAGCTAGAGAGCCGATTGTTTTGCCTAGGAGACAGTATTTCACAGAGCTAGTGATTAGGCAGTGTCATGAATCTGTTATGCATGGGGGAGTTCGGAGCACGTTGGCGCAACTGAGGTCGAAGTATTGGGTACCCAAGGGCAGACAGGAAGTTAAGAGAGTGAGCGGTGGATGTGTAGCTTGTAAACGATGGAACAGTAAGCCGTGTACACAAATAAAGCAAGCAGCGTTACCAGAGTTTAGGGTTAGGAGAGCCGCACCATTTGAAAATTCAGGCGTAGATTTTGCAGGACCTTTGTACGTAAAACAAAGGCAAGTATGAGCAAGGTGTACATTGCGCTGTTCACCTGCTGTGTGACACGCGGTTCACTTAGAGTTAGTGCACGATTTGAGTGCAGCGACATTTCTGCGCTGTTTAAGAAGATTTTTTGCAAGGTTTGGAACACCGAAACTTATTGTTTCTGACAACGCCAAAACATTTAAAGCCGCAAAAAAGACGTTGCGCGACTTATTTCAATGCGAAGAAGTAGATAATTGCCTTAGCGCTAAGAACATTGAGTGGCGATTTAACCTAGAGAGGGCCCCATGGTGGGGAGGGTTTTTCGAAAGGATGATAGGGCTAGTGAAAGTCTGTTTAAGGAAAGTTTTGGGCAATGCAAAACTTACTTTCGACGAACTGACAACTGTTCTAGCTGAAGCTGAAGCTAAATTGAATTCTAGACCCTTAACGTATGAGTACGAGGAAGTGAATAGTGAAGTACTTACTCCTGCACATTTAGTCTATGGTAGGCGCATCGTGACATTACCCGATAGCAAGGACTCAAAAATTAATGATTTAGGACTAGAATAAGATTCGACTACAACAAACACTAGGACACGATTCAAACATTTAAGTGCCATACTGGAGCATTTTTGGAGCAGGTGGAAACGGGAGTATCTCACGAATCTTCGGGAATTGCATAAGGTTGGGATGGCAGACAAACAGTCGGCGATAATTAAGCCAGGGGATGTGGTCATTGTGTTTGAGCAGGGTAAAAAAAGGGGGGAGTGGAAGACAGGTGTGATTCAGGAATTGATTTGTGGCAAGGATAAGGTCGTTCGTGGTGCAAGGGTTTGCGTGATGACAAATGGTCGTCGCCAGGTGTTGAATAGAGCGATTCAGCATTTATATCCAGTTGAGGTTAAAGACAAGAGTAAGGTTGAAGGGGTTGTTAAGGAGGATATAGTTAGCGGATGTAAGGAGAAGACTGAGAGAAAGGCGGCTTTGGACGCCAGGTGGAAGGTTAGGGCGATGCTTGACTCCTGAGTGAGTCAAGGGGAGAGTGTTGTATAATTTAGGATATTTCATTTATATTTTTATTGCATGCCAGATTTTATAAGTTCCCATGCAGAGTTTTATGTGTGCCAAAATTATAATTAAATTAGGGTGTATATACTTAACACTTCCTAAGTATTTCTCTCTTAATTAATTCATGTTGTAGTAGTGCACGTAAGTCACGAAATGTAAACATATAAATAGACTCAAATTTGTAATAGTCGGGAGATTGTGTAGATTGTTCATTGCTAATAAACTCCATAAAACAAACCGAATCAGAGTGCAGATCAATTTTCTGGACGAACTCAGTGAATTCTGCGACAGTCGTGTATATATAAACTCTTCACTGCCCTAATTGCTTGACGAATCACTTCAACCGCCATCAATCAAGAACTAATGTCACCACATCAAAAATCAGCCAGACCATCAGAAGGATGCCACGAACATACTTTCACTCTACAAAGCATCATCGCAGACAGTAAACGAAGCAACAAAAACTGTTTTATGGCATGGCTCGATCTTAAAAATGTCTTTGGCAGCATATCTCACCAAGCCATATACACCACTCTTCAACACATGGGTTTCCACGATAACCTAATCAGTCTCGTCAAAGACATATACACCAACGCTACCACAATTGTTAAAACCTCCACATCTGAAGCAACAAACTCCCAATCATGTCGGGCGTCAAACAAGGCTGTCCATTAAGCCCTATACTTTTCAACCTCACCACAGAACTCCTTATTAGATCCATCACCAAACATAGCGACACAAACCCTTCACTACCATATAACCTCCACAACGAACAAATTTCGATCCTAGCGTACGCAGACGACCTTGTAATAACAAGCAAAACTGCCGAAGGTCTTCAGTCATACCTGGACATAATTGCAACGAAAGCCAACATTTTAAACCTCACATTCCGCCCCGACAAATGCGCCACACTTACCATCACATGCAAAAAGAACGAATCATCTAGAGTAAGCAACATAACCTTCAACTTACAAAATTAAACGATACCATCTCTATCACACGAAGAAACATACCGATACCTAGGTGTCCCAATTGGCCTCCTCTACAACCCAGAAGAAATGCAAACATTTCACAAAAACTGATCCAAGACCTCCTCAAAATAAGAGACTCTTTACTTGCTCCATGGCAAAAGTTAGACTGCATCAGAACTTTCATCCAACCATGCCTAACCTATGTTCTTAGAACATGTCCAGTACCACGCAACTCACTCGAAACATATAGAACAACCCTCTTCAAAGTTTTACGATCAATCTGTCATCTCCCATCTCGTGCTGCCACATCTTACTTTTTTGCTCACCGTTCGGCTGGGGGACTTGGCTTCTTCGACCCATTTCTTGAACGTCACGTCCAAACAATAGTACATACCATGAAAACACTATCATCTCCTGACAAAACAATCCATAACATCGCCCACAAACAATTTCAATCTGTAGTATACAGATGCTTCCACCGCCAACCATCCAACGAAGAACTAGATGCATTCTTATCCGGATCATTAGAAGGATCTCTCAATGAATTCTCTAAAACAAATAACAGCTCCACTCTGTGGTCCAGTTGTCGTCAAGCATGCAGAGCCTTAAAACTACATATCTCTGAGTGTAATCAAGAAATCCATATAACTGCAGACAACATCACTTATACCAAAGCAAAAAATGCCTCTTCCTTCCTATATCATCACATAACCAACCACCATGCCATCAAACTCAAAGAACTTCCAGATCAAGGAAAAGTCGCACGATGTATCAACGAATCAAACATACCATCTGTAAACTCCTGGATGTTTGACGGAACTGGTCTACGTTTTTGTGATTGGAGATTCATACACCGAGCAAGAACAAACACCCTCCCAACTAATGCCGCAAAACATCGTTGGAACTCCACAAACAACGCTTCCTGCCGTAGATGCCACTCGGATAACACCAAGGAAACCCTTCCACACATAATAAATCACTGCCACCCCAACATGTCACGATAACCACAAGACACAACTTAATCCTCAACCTCAAAGACAACATAAAAGATGGAACCATAACAATAGATAAATCAATCCCAGATGATCCCAACAATACTCGACCGGACATTGTAATTTACGACGGCAATAGAGTCCACATAATAGATGTCACGTGCCCTTTTGAGAACGACTCTAATGCATTAAAAGAAGCTGCTGACAAAAAACACGAGAAATACAACTACCTCATGGAATTTTTTGCAAAACAACACCTGCAAGCTTCTATATCCGCCTTTGCTGTTGGATCCCTCGGTGCATGGTACGATGAAAATGAAAAAGTCCTGCAAGAAATCAGAATGCCATTGAGATACAGGACACTCTTCCGCAAACTATGTGCCGCAGATTGTATTAAAGTCTCAAGAAATATATATGTAGAACACCTTACGGGTATCGAGCAATAACATTACTAATGTACTAATGAACAATCTATATCTTCCTAAGAATCAATATTTATATATATTTTTCATAGTTTTCGGTTTAAAGAACGTTTCAATAGTACTATAAAGTCATAAGTAAAGTAATTAATAGTAGTATAGTAACATATCATGTAAAAGATGCATAAAAGCCATCATCTAACACATCTTTCCACACCTCACATCACATTATAAAAACAATTCATCCAACGCAACCAAATAAAACGAGCATATTTCTCTCATTACCATATACACATCAACCACCTTCTCAAACATATCACAACTGTAAAAATGTAAATAATTATCTAATTTACCCATGTATATTCCTTATTGCAAATTAAAAAATATCTGTTCTTATCAGCTTAATATCTGATATGTCGGGCAATGCCCGACTCTTATATTAAACTGATTTTGGATATCGGCCATGGGATTGGAGCTTGCTTCGCCCTGGCCACGGGTTGTCTCGGTATTGCACTACCTCCGAGTTCGGCCCATTTCCTTCGCGGAAGGGAAACACATTTACTTTAAACAAAGAAAAAACAAACAAAACAGCCAGCAAATCAAATAGCTAAGCGAATTTATTTTGTCTGTAACTAACTAACTAACTAACTAACTAACATACGTCTCTTTTCGACAGAGTCGGCGAAAGACGAAAAGACGTCGTCGTCGTCGGAAAGGAAGACAATAAAGGCCGTCAGACGGTAAGTTGCAAGTGCAAAAAGTAGTGAAAAAGTAAAGGGAGGGGGTGCAACCGTGTCGCACCGAGCGTACGTTCGCGTACAAAGTATGCTCGCCGTGCGTCGTTCGAGCATACTTACCTGACGCGAGAGGCACCTTGATCAGCTAGGAGGTCCTCTCAGGATGAGGCCCTTTCATTGCACTTCGACTGGGTTGACTCCTGCGATTACCCCTAACGTGGGTAACTCGAGCGTATAATTTCTGGTAGTGGGGACCTGCGTTCGCGCTCGTCCCCTTCGTTTCGCACGATGGGAGGAAGAAGCGGAGAAAAAGAACAAATAAAATAGAACACAATAAAACACAATAGAACACAATAGAGAGAAGAGGGCCTTTCGTCCGTCAATTGTATGCCACGCTTTGGGACATATATAAATTCGTTGTTCGTTCGGGGTTAGGTTGCATGCTGCCAAATTTTTTTACTGACCTATCCCAAAATGCATAGCGAGATGCAGGAGAAATTTATATCAGCTATTAGCAAGAATAAATTACTTGTATTTGACATAAATTACTTGTACTTAACAACGACGTAAACGGCCGGCGTGTGTGTATATTTTGACGGACGGCATATACATTATGAAAATATACAAATTATAATATGTATCGTCGACGTTAACAGTAATGATATTGCATTGCGAACGTTTTTCTTACTTAGTCGTACGTTTGTTTAGCTTTTATAGTAATTATTTCTATGTATCACTGACATTTAACGGCTCGTAGTGTAAAATTCGTTCATTGAGCTGCTTGTCTGCCGATTTCATGAAGCATGACCTTGTTGACATTGCAGCACTTGCATACAATGCGAATCATTATCGCCCACAAGCACAAAGCGTTTGTTTTACAATGAGAAAGCACGTCTGCAGCAAGTTCGCGACAGACATCGCGTGCTTCCTACGTCATATGAAACGATCGCATTTCGCGGCATTACGCGCGAATTTTCAAACATGTTCTTCTTTACGAACAGGTGTACATTGGATTAGAAAGAACGCTTGACATGACGATTGTAGTAAAGGATGATTCCTTCGTTATCCGTACTGCTTGATTTTTCATTTGTTGCATGATTTCTACGCGAAAAGATACAATAGAACCGTGTGTTTCTCATGCAACTTGTAGAGTGAAAAATGGCGAAAGCTCTTCTTCTGTATCGCTTTCGGCCTTTTGGCTAAGATCAAGTGTAGCTGCTGACGGACACGGTGACAAGTCGAGAATTGCTGTTGCTGAGTCTGCGCGTTCTGATCGTTTGTGTTCTGTTAATCGTATTCAATATCGTCTTCAAATCGTGAGTTCGTTCCTTGTTTGTAAATTGTTATATTTTGTATCTGTTTTCTGGTAGTTCCTTATTAGGG